AGCGGCAGGCTGGGAATCTGAGAGGCTGCGAGGCTGCAGGGAGGGGGGAAGTGATAAACATTTCTAAATGACCAAGAAGAGCACATGTCATGGGAATTTCCATCACAACATTAAATGAGTGGCTTCCAAGGCAGCGACTCAGACACCACACTAACACAAGAGAGTTAGCTGCTTCAATACGTTGTCAGTAACAAATAAACTGATCCCTTTTGGAAAAATATGCTGATCTTCCTTTTTTTTTTTTTTGAGACAGAGTCTTGCTCTGTTGCCCGGGCTAGAGTGACTGCCATGGCGTCAGCCTAGCTCACAGCAACCTCAAACTCCTGGGCTCAAGTGATCCTTCTGCCTCAGCCTCCCAAGTAGCTGGAACTACAGGCATGCGCCACCATGCCCAGCTAATTTTTACATATACATATATATATTCTTAGTTGTCCAGATCATTTCTTTCTATTTTTTAGTAGAGAGGGGGTCTCGCTCTTGCTCAGGCTGGTCTCGAACTCCTGCCATCGCGATCCATGCACCTCGGCCTCCCAGAGTGCTAGGATTACAGGCGTGAGCCACTGATCTTCCTTTTAACAGGAAAAAAAGAACATGCTTCAAAGGACAGACTCAAACTCCCACCAGCAGAAATGCATTCTTAAACAGCAAGCTGAAGCTCTTCTCGGTCATTTGGATGTTTGTACGAAGCCTTTTAAAACCTAAACAGCGTCTAAATAAATACAAAGGTTTGTCCGTGGACCCTGATGACTGTTGTGCCCTGGGAGATGATACCTCATTTCAACCAAGTGTCACTGTACAACATGCCTTTGAAAGTCCTGCTTTAGCGCTGCCTTCAGCATCCTGTACAAGCCCACAAGGAAACCAGTCTTATCATCAAATAGCTGCCACACCTGATGAGAGCGTAGCCCACCTTTTTACTGCCATATATAAAATGAACACATAAGGTAGCATTACACAGCAAGCTCCCAGAGGGGATTGCTCTGGAAAGATAATACTCTTTCACATAACCTCTATCAGGCTAAGAAGAAAATACTGTTTCTTAATTTTGTTTACTGCTCTAGAGCACAGGTTGGCAGACCTAGAGCATGCCTGGCCTGTAGCTCATTTTGTAAATAAAGCTATACTGGAACACAGCCACATCCACTCATTTACACATTGTCTAGGGCTGCTTTCATGCTACAACAGCAGAGCTGAGTTGTTGTGACCGAGATTGTATGGACCACAAAACCAAAAATATTTACTCTCTGGGCCTTTACTGAAAAAGCTGCCAACTCTGCTCTAGAGAATATAATGCCAGCAGACTGAGGCTGCTATTTTAGAAGAAAAAAAATCTACTCCTTGCTTTTATATGTTTTGTTTCTTATTATTGAGAAACCACCTTTAGAATGTGTTCAAGAAATAGGCTGTATTTGTACAATTAAAAAAAAAAAAAGAAATGGCCTGGCACATTATTTGTACTATTGTTTTTGTGTATACCACCTTCTGTCTTAAGAAACTTTAAAAAAGATGAGTATATTAAGCCCAAAACATGCAGAAGGAAATAAAGATTAGTATGAAAAACATTGAAATGGAAGCCAAAAAAACCAACAGAGAATATTAATGAAAGCAGAAGTGGATTGCTTTGAAAAGGTCAACAAAGTTGATAAACCTTTAGCTAAGAAAGAGAGAGAAAACATAAATTACTAAAATCAGGATTAAAAGTAGACACCCCTACCACCTTACAGAAATTAAAAGTATTATTAGGGAATACTATGATCAAGAAATAGACCAATTCCTACAAAGACTTAAATTACTGAAACTGACTAAAGGAGAAACAGAGTGTCAGAACAAACCTTCAAGAAGGAAAGAGATTAGATTAGTAATTAAAAATACTCCCACACAAACAGAATCCAGGCCTACTGGTTTCACTAGTGTAATCTACCAAACACTTGAAGAAGTTTGGTAAATAATATACCAATCGTTCACAATCTCTTCAAGAAAATAGAGGAGGAAGAAAATTTCCCAACTCACTATGAGGCCAGTATTACTCTGATACCAAAGCCAGACAAAGATACCACAAAAATAAAAATTGCAGAGCAATATCCCTCATGTAATATGGAAGCAAATGCCCTCAACAAAATATTGCCAATGAATGCAGCAACACATAAAAAGGAATATAAACAATCATCAACTAGGATTTACCCCAGGAATACAAGATTGATTTAACATCCCAAAATAAATTAATGTAATACTCCATATTAACAGAATAAAGGACAAAACCCATATGATAACCTTGATACATGAAGAAGGCATTTGACAAAATTTAATACATATTCATAATAAAAACTCTCAACAAACCAGAAGGAAGATTCCTCAAATGGAGAAAGGGTATTAATGAAAAACCTACAACACCATACTTCATGGTGACAAAATGAATGACCTAAGATCAAAAACATGACAAGGACGTCCATTCTCACCACCACCATTCAACACTGTACTGGAAGGTCTTGCCAGTGCAATTATGCAAGAAAAAGAAACGAAAGGCATCTAGATGGTAAAGAAGGGAGTAAAACTGTCTTTATTTATGGACATGTTTTATGTGTAGAAAATCCTATCGAGTCTACAAAGCAACTACTAGAACTATTAAATGAGTTCGGCAAGGCCACAGGATAAAAGATCAATTGTATTTATATATACTAGTAATGAACAATCTGAAAATGAAATTAATATTTTCATTCATAGTAGCATGAAAAAGAATAAAATATTTAGGAATAAATTTAACAAGTCCAAGAGTTATATAGCAAAAATCACGAAGCACTGCTGGAGAAATTAAATACCTAAATGTAATAATTGGAGATATATCCCGTTTTAATGTACTGGATGACTTACAGAAGAAAAAAGTTGGAGGACTCACACTTCGCATTTTAAAAACTTACTACAAAGCTATGCTAATCAAGGCAGTGTGGCTACTGCATAAGACATAGATAGATATAGATTAATGGAATAGAATTGAAAGTCCACATTTCAATTTACGTTTTACATTTACTCCACAATCAGGGTCAACTGATTTTCAAGAAGGATGCCAAGGCAATTCAATGGAGAAAGAATAGTCTTTTTCAACAAGTAATGTTGGGTCAAATCAATATCCACGTGCAAAAAAATAAATTCGAACCTTTATCTGGTATCATACACAAAAATTAACTAAAATAGATAACAGGCCTAATGTAAGTGCCAAAACTCACTCTAAAACTCTTAGAAAAAACTTAGGTGTAAACCTTCGTGACCTTGGGTCAGGTGGCATTTCTTAGGTATATTAAGAGCACAAGCAATAAAAAACAAGTTGATAAACCAGACTTCAAAAAATTTAATAATTTCTATGCTTCAAAAGACACCATTCAAGAAAATGAAAAGACAAACCACGGACTGGGAGAAAAAAAAATCTGCAAATCACGTATCCAGTAAAAGACCTATATCCAGCATGTATTTAATAACTCTTACAACTCAGTAATACGACAATGTATAACCCCATTTTAAAATGATTTGAATAGACGTTTCATCAAAAGATTTGAATAGGTATTTTACCAAAGAAGATATGCAAATGGTCAACAAGCCCATGAAAAGATGTTCACCATTATTAGGGAAATGCACATCAAAACCAAAATGATATACTACTTCACATTCACTAGAATGGCTATTAGCAAAAAGAAAGACAATAACAAGTATTGCAGAAAGGACGGAGAAGCTGGAACCCTCGTGTGTTGCTGGTGGGAATGTAGGAGGGTGCACCACTTTGGAAGACAGTTTGGAAGTTTCTGAAAATGTTGAACATGGATTTACCATATGAGCTCGCAAACCTACTCCAGAGAGAAATAAAAACTGATATCTACATGAAGACTTCTACGGGCATGTTCACAGCATTAACCATAATAACCAAAAAGTGGAAGCAATTCTAGCACCCATCAACTAGTAAATGGATAAACAAAATGTGTGGCATATGCACAAAATGGAACAGTATCCAGCAATAAAAAGGAACAAAGTGCTGATGCATGCTACAACATGGAGAAACTTCAGAACTATGCTAAGTGAAAGAAGCCAGATGCAAAAGACCACACTGTAAGATTCTAATGATATGAAATGTACAGAACAGAAACATCTATAGACACAGGAAATAGCTTAGTGGTCAGCTAAGGCTGGGGGTAAGAACAGGCAGTGACTGCAAATTTGAGGTTTCTTTTTGGGGTTATGGAAATGTTCTAAAATGAGACTGGGATGACAACTGCAAAACTACATACCTACGCTAAAAACCATTGAACTCTACCATTCGACTACTACACAAATTATAACTCAAAAAGCTGTGTAAAAATATAATCTTCAAACGAAATCCTTCTGTGATGCCAACATTCTCCAGAAATTAAATTCCTTGGCTAAGAGGATCTACTACCCTGAAGGAAGGTGAATACAGAACCTGCTTGAGAAATTACTCACCCAGGGTCAGCTACTAAGTGTAAGGCATGAGTCAGCGATCTTCCAAAAAGATTTCAGGAAGCTTTAAGGTCAATCTTAAAAAAAAAATTTAATAGCAAAAAGAAATAAAAGAACACCATCAATGACATATAATTTGGGCTATTTTAGAAAGCTAACTGCTGAAATGTTTACATTCTGAAAAAGATGGTTTCTTATCAGGAGATCATTCAGCAGTGTTTACATTGACCTAGCACCTATAAAGCTTGGCTTATAAACAAACTGAGCTCCCACCATGTGGTAATAAGGCTTAAACTTTTATCTGTTATAAATTTGCTAGTTAATATAAAATAATTAAAAGGGCTATCTTACATCATTAGTGTTGTTTCATTTATTTCCTTCACTTGCAGCGAGCAGGGCCTAGATCCTGAAGGGGCACCTGAGCCAGTGCCCATTCTTAGCACACCTGGTTATGCGCCTTCTGTTGAGGAACACAGGGGTGAAAACAACAGACCTCTGTGTTGGCTCATCAGCTTTTAACCATTAAAAGACAATATAACTGAGCCTTCCTAAAATAAACCATTTATTGAAAAAAGAACCTTTTTCTTAAATTTCATTAATCAGCCTTTTGCATAACAAACCTGCAGCTTACCAACAACAACAAAAAAAAGGTAAGGTTTCACAGTCAGTGCACTAGACAAACAGGAGATTAAAAACAAGGTCCCGGACGCCCTGATAACACTACAACTTCTTTTGAACCTAGAAAGGTCAAAAATGCTACACTGATGTCATGGTTCTCAGTCACGGGAAAAACAGAGGAGACAGAGGCGATGGTCCGTGTACAGTAGTAATGGCACTTAACATGCAGCTTCTTTAACCTCGTGGACACTATCCCTCCAGAGGACCCTGTGCCACGTCAGATAAACAGGAGCAGCAGGAGAAGTGACGTTTGTCACCTGTGCAGTCTTCAGTCTTGGAAGGTTAAAAAGGCTTACACTGCTTCTCAGCACAGTCTTTATGTAAATATTACATACAGTAGTGATTAAGAGAATTTTCCAAGTCCACACACTACTAGGCCACAGACCGATTAGCTTCATTCTTCATCTGTGCACACCTGTGAGGAAGCAGGAGAGAGCTGAGCGCTGGCAGAGGCAGGTGTGTACGTGTGCGCACACACGGTACAATTCTTACAGGTAGGCCCCATCCGCTCATCCCCATCCTCCCCGTGCTGTGCTGGGCACAGAGGGAAGGACTTGAGAAACGCAGTCAACAGTGGCAGTGCTAAGTTACTGCTCTCAAGTTAAGCCTGGGAATTGACTACTGAAAGCATTTTTTTAAATGTCTATGTAAAATTTCAGGTCAATTGTTTCTGTACTTTATAACTAAGGCCTAAAGTTATTTAATTACAACTCCCTAACATCTCCACAGATAATCCACTCGGTTGGTCGGTAACCCCACTCACCAGGAAGAATGACACCCCACTCTTCTGCACCTTCCTTCCCTTTGCTGGAAGCTCCTCTGCAGGCCCCTCACGATGCCGTTTCCTCCACGGTTCCATTCTCATCCCTTTCTCCTCTGAAGACTCTCCCAGCAACACTTCTGTCTCCCCAGCCTGTACCCCAGCCCAAATCCCTCTTGAGTGCCAGCTCAAACTATCCAAATGCCCATCTGAAATCTCCCAGCAGATGTTCCAAACACACCTCAATCTTCACCTAGCAGAGAGGACCCATCACCTCCCTGACCTGCCCCTCACCCAGCCGCCTCTTTCCCTGTTTTGGTGAAAGGAGTCTATGACCTGGTGACACAAACTAGAAATCTGGGAGCCACCATAGACTCCTCCCTTCTCACCCACCTTCGCATCCAACCAGGGCTCAGTCAGGGCCACTGTAACTCCTAAGGATCGCTGAGAACTCACCCTGATCGCCCATCCCCAATCCTTTACCTGCACTTAACGTCCTAACTAGTCTCTTGCCTCCTGCTGAATGGTCTAACACACTATTAAATCATGTTATGTTTACAATAAAACTGAAATTCCTTCATGTTGCTCCCACTTACTTTTCCAGCCTTCCCTTGTGCCATTTTCCACATCCTGTGCTCTTTGGGATGGGATGTACCTACACGAGTTCCTTAACTGTGTCACTGTCCACGAGGGAGTTTTTCCCTGCCTCTTCCCTTTGCCCGCTGTACCCCTGCCATTCCTGACCAGGCCAGACCCTCTCAAATAGCTTAGGCAGCTCTTCCTAGAGAAAATAATGAGATTAACTGACTGCATTAAATTCCTCTTCTCATAACCTTACATACCATTCTGACAGCTCTTAACATAATGATTAGTTGTTGCTAAGCTGTAGTCATTACTAACCCGTCTACCCTCCAAGTAGACTATATACTCTTGAGAGTGAAAACTATGTCTTTCATCCAGTCCCATTTAAACTTCCATTTAACTGTCTCAAGTGCATCTCAAATGCTCCATCAAAATAGACTAAGTAGAACTTCAATGAACATTTTTCAAATGAAAAAAACATATACGAAAATCCCTAGCATAATAATACATTTAGTTCCTTTCCATTTCAGACATAAGTATTTTATATTTAAGTTTCCAAATTTCCCCAAGGGCCATATGCAAAACAAAACTCAAATATTTAAACATGAAGACAACTATCCAGGAATCTGTCAAACCTTGACAAACGAATGGTCGAGGAGCTGGCTGGCTGTCCACCGCATCTTTGGGTCACTTTCAAGGCAGTGAGAGAGGAAGTCCTTTCCTTCAGGGCTTAATCTTTCAGGGATTGGGGGCTTATGTCCCATTCCCACTTTATACATGATCTGAAAGTTGTGTTCATACTCATGCCAAGGCCTCTAAAGAGATAAGAAAAAAATCAAGTTTTAATATTATGTGGCCATAAAAAATGCAAATGCCCAATCTCTTTTTAAGCATCTGAAAATTAATATATACCAAGAATCAGCACACCTTTGCTAAAAGGGCCAAACAGTTAATACTTTCGGCTTCCAGGTCATATGGTCTCTGTTACAATTATCTAATTCTTTCATGGTAGCATGAAAGCAGCTACACACAATATATAAAGGAATGGGGTATGACTGTTCCAATAAAATTTTATTTATAAGAACAGTCTGCTCACCCTATTTGGGATGTGCCATTAGTCCAGCTTTATCTAGAAACCATCTCATGCAACTAAAAAATGTAATACATAAAATGATATATAACATATAAAACCCAACAATTCTCTTATAGGGATGTTTAATATGCTACGTTGTTGAAAAATAAAAATTCCATTAATGCAAAGTTTAGATGATTTCATTATGATCGTATGGAAAAAAAAATTCATAGCGGAAAGAACTAAGTTTGTATGGCATTCTGATTTATGTACTATAGTTACTGCCAATATGTATTCTTGAGTGTGAGCATTTATTCTTCTCTTATGTATGGCTTGACTGAAATAATAGAGATCATGGCCATCTTCCTATTTTAATTCTAATAGAAATAACATTAGGCAATATTTATTGAGCACTTATTATGTGTGATCTTTTTCAGCAGCTACAAGGTACAGCTGTATAACGATTTAACTAATTTCCTACTAGTAACACTTAAGAGATTTCTAACTCTCTTGCTGTATAAACAATGCTACACAGACATACACTGTGTGTACATGTGTATCTTTACACAGTTGTATACTTGCTCATTAGAAGACAAATTCATCAGAAGATAAATTTTCAGAAGCAGAAATTTCTTAGTTTAAGGGCTAAGCACATTTAAAATTTTGATAGAGATTAGAAATTGTTCTCCAGAGCAGTTTTACCATTCTGAATTTCTGTCCACAATATGTCTGTTTCTCCTTACACCCTAAAGGTATTATCAATTTTTAAAAATGTCACTCATACACTAAATAAAAAGTTGATCATCTTTTCACGTCTTTTTGAAATTAACAGACAATTTTTTAGAGCAGTTTTGCATTTACAGAAAAATTAATTGGAAGATACAGAGAGTTCTCACATACTCCCTCCTGCTCCCCACACAATTTCCGCGATTATCTACACCTGGCATTAGTGTGATCCATTCGTTACAACTGATGACCCAGTGTTAACACATTGGTAACTAAAGCCTGCAGTTTACATCGGGGTTCGCTCTGTGTTGCACATTCTGTGGGTTTGGACATATACACACTAATGTGTATCCACCATCACTGTATCCTACAGAAGAGCTTCACTGCCCTAAAAATTCCCTGTGCTTTACCTATTCATCCCTCCCTGCCCAAATTCCTGGCAACCACTGATCTTTTTACTGTCCCAATAGTTTTGCCTCTTCCAGAATGTCACATAGATGGAATCACACAGTAGGTAGACTTTTCAGGCTGGCGTCTTTCATCACTTAGCCATATGCATTTAAGGTTCTTCCATGTCTTTTGTGGCTTATATAGCACACTTCTTTTTATCACTGAATAATATTCCTTTGTATAGGTATAACTCTTTATCCCTTTATTTACTGAAGGACATCTTGGCTGCTTCCAGGCTCTGGCAATTGTGAATAAAGCTGCTATCAGCATTCATGTGCAGGCTTCTGTGTGACCTGCGTTTTCAAATTCATGGTTTCTTTTTGTAACTGCTTACTTCTCTGTGTCTTATTTCAAGTTCTACGCTTCTTTAAATTTACTCATAAGAGTTCTCTGTGGCACACACCTTATAAATATCTGTTTCCTAGTTTGCTATTTGTCTTAATCTTATTGTATCTATTGACAAGTCACATTTTTATCTTTAATCATGATGCCTTAAATGCAGAAAATACGTCCACAGTACTGATAACGGTCAAACCACAGTTACTGTTCCCCAATGTACAATGCCCTCCTGAAGTTCCTCCTCCAGGTGTGGGCTCTGCTTACCTTCCCAGTCACCATCTCTATGACAACACAGCCCAGACTCCAGATGTCAGCCGCTCGCCCATGGCCTTCTCCTTTAGCGCGAGTGATGACTTCAGGTGCCATGTATGCTTTAAAAGTCAGATGCAGTGTTTAGTGGTGGGTTAGAAACACGGCACCATGTATTAATAGAGCCAAGCCATAAATTAATATAATATTCTTTCCCTGAGTTACATGATAGAAAATATCAAAAACCTACAAATATTAATAGATATTTCAAATCTATTTGTGGAATGAACTTTTTGGCGCCAAATCCTCTTTTAAAAGACAATTTTTGAATGTGAAAATTTTCAAATAAATTGTATTCACAATTAAACTAGGAAATTTAAACTGCAAAGGAGGAGACAAAATTTCATGACACTAAATGATCAAAACAAAGAAGTATCTTTTGACCATAGCGTTGTTTTGATTAGAATAGTTTTAATAAAACTAATGCAAACAAGAAGAGTTTTTCTAGGGTAAAAAAGATGCTTTCCTCCTTTAACTTTAAAGGAGAAATTTAATTTACCAATCTGACAACTACTCTCAGGTGGAAGCCCAAGTGCATGAGGGAGCAGCAGTCCTTTTGGTACCTGGAAACCTTTACCTGCTCTCCCAGTCCCCACTGACAAAGAAAGGTGAAGGTTACTCCCAGGTACCACGTACACTGTGTTAAGTTGGAGTGCAAAGACTGACCGAGCTGGTCCCTACCTGCTGTCCCCAGTGTGCTATTCACTTCACCAGGCATGGTCTGGGCATTGTTTTTAAGCTTTACTGAGCATCCAAAATCTCCCAGTTTGATTAGTCCAGATGAGGTAAGGAAGATATTGGCACCTAATAAGAAACAACCAGTTGTTAAACAGCCTCCAAAACACAATGTGAGCATTTTAAAATTTACATGGTAATCTAAACTACCAGAAACTTCATTCACCAAACTAAGTAATATAAAAGTTTATGAAATTTTACTTACAAAGTGCAATCATAAAAACATCTGTGAGCCTTATTCACAAATATTAATGCAAAGCAACAAAATTTTAACATCAGTGCAGGTAGCTTTGACCAATAAATTTTGAACTGAAATACATGCATAAATTCTAACATTAAAAACCCACAGAAACACTTAAAAAGAAATTGCATACAAAACACAAATGCTTGAGATAAGTCCCTGAAAATTAGAGTTGTATGCAGTTAGCAGCTTCTTTTACAGGAAGCGCCATGTAGACAAGAACCGGTACACAGTAGTTTTTTAGGGTCATAGCTGAGGCCACTTTTGGATTTTTTTTGAATGTGACTGAAAACAATGTTCTGTAATTTTCAAATATTTCTATAAGCAATATACATGCCTAACTGGTCTTCTAGTTGGAAGCTGGGGTTATTGCTCATCTCTCAGGTCAGCTTGGCCTTTTGCTATAGGGTACATTATCGCTCCAACTAAGTCACGCATTTCTGGCATCGTGTTCTATGGTACCTCCTTCAAAAAGCAACACATAGCCACTCGAGTTAGACAAACAGCCATACGATGAGTGAAGTCTAAGAGTTAGTCCTCGTGACTTGAGTGTCCCCAGAGTTGATGGTCCCCACAATGGACAACACAGTGGTGACTTGACCTTCTGGAACTAGTCTACGTTGCTCATTCTGAGCCATGACCAACTACAAAGTATTTGATAAGGATACCAGTGAGCTGACCTGATTTAAGGATTCTGAGAAATTCTCTTTGTGCCATGGAATATAACAAGAAGATACCATTTTATGACAGTGAACAGAGACTGAGTACGGTGCTTGTGCAGAAGGATTAGAAATGGGCAACGCCATGGCCTGATAGAGCCAATTCAGCAAACGCCCAGAATGACCCCAGACAGCAAAGCAACGTGGTGGACAGGCAGGCAGCCACCAAGACTGGCGTATGCCGGGTGAGCCGCAGTACAGAGCACGAACAATTTCTTACACTCAGACCAAAGCAGACTCTGGTGTGATCCAGAACAGCCCCCCAGACTGGGTCCCGTCCCTGGTCAGAAGTCAGGCCAATTCTTAAGCAAATGTGTTTAATTAGGTTAACCTCAAATATATAATAGAATGAAACTCTTCGGTCTAGGGCCAATTAGACACAAAAATACTTTCCCACTTTAGTCATCCCCAAGACTCCCAAATACAAAGGTCCAGGGCATGGTGTGGTTAAGGCAAATGCCACAGGGACAGTTCTGAGACAGAAGCATAGTCATTTCCCTCATGCCAGAAGAGGAAAGCACTTTTAATCAATCAGCATGACCACACTAACCTTTAGCAGAACTCTAATTTGGAGGCTGGTGTAAATAAACCTTATTCTTGTCACCAAAAACATAGCCTCATCTTATGACTTATATACGCATTTCTGATTTACTGTCCCTTTACATATTCATGACACTCATATAGAAATATACAGGAAGTCTTGACCCAGGAACAAGAAAGGTTGTTTTAATCATGAATCTCTAGTGAGTACAGACGCTATGCCAAATCAGCCTATAAAAATAGCAAACTTCATTTCTGGGCAACAGATTTCTCTAAAAGCCGAAAGAGCAGACTTTACTGAATGGTGATGTGGGTTCTATATTGTTTCTTAATGCAGGATTCTTTATAAAAGCACATTCAAAGTAAAGGTATTTCAATCTAGAGAAATAACATGTGGGAGTGGGAACAAGCATCTTCGGAGCACCTACTGTGTGCTGGATACCAGGCAACTCTGGTGCACAGCAGCACGGTGCGTGTGGGGATTACCTTTAATGTCACGGTGAACGATGCCATGCTCATGGAGGACATTGATCGCAATGGTGATCTGCTTTGAATACAGCCTAATCACATGTTCCTGAAGCCCCAGCCTCGACACTTCTTCTAATGTGCCCTCATCACAGTACTCCATGAAGATGTACATTTCTTCCTGCGGGAGGAACAGAACGCAGCCCTGTGTTTATGATTCTCTTTACATGTTCGCTAAGTGAAAAGTCTGAAAAACTTCACAGGCCATGCCCCGAAGGAACCTTCTTTCTAACGGTATACTACACTTGTCATCCTGAGCACTGAATGTGTCCTACAACGGTCGTTTCTCACTCTTCTACAGGTGTCTGCCTGCCTCCTCTGTCTGGAATTACACAGCCTGTCGGGATAAGAGCATCTCCAAATCGCAGAGGATAAAATTCTACAATCCTCTGAAATTAAGTCTGCTTTATAATCTCAGACAGGGACCAACAGGGCTGTCCCTACAAATATATTATTAAGTACTGAAACACATCCTTTTCAAACATGAATTTATTTGTGAAAACATTAAAAATGATCAATATCCAACTTCCCCAAAAGCTCGTGCTCTACACCAAGACGCTCGAGGTGATTCGCTTTCCCTCAACGTGTTTATCTCTAAACACAAGGGGGAAAATGAATTTGAGGGCTGACTTTTCTCCCATTTCACAATGGTTCCTTAAATACATATGAAAGAAAAATCAGTACTACTTAACAGTGTACTCAACAGTGGTTCAGCGACAAATGGAGAAAACAAGTCACAAGCAGCGGTGTAAGGGGCATTTTAGAAGATCTTCTGACTGGCAGGATGGGTTTCAGTGCTTTATGATGTCGGGTTGAGACTACAGTCTACAACTTACATTTTAGGAAGAACTCCTCTAGTTTCAGAGAGAAGGCAGAAATGATGTAACTCATGGAGATTTCCTGAGAATTAGGCAAAGTTACTGTGCTCTGAAATGAGAAGACCTGTGATGTAGAACAGGACTCCATTTTGTGCCCTTACTGATTCCTCACACAAAGCAGTGTCATTAGGGTCGGCTTACTCTATGAAGCTCCACACCAAAATACCGAACCAGATTGGGGTGTTTGATGCCTTCGAATATTTTCAGTTCGTCTGCAGTTTCCTTGATAGTCTTATGGTCATTAGGTTGAAATCGAATCTGTGAAAGGAAAATTGCTGATCACCGTTGGTGCTGCCACAGACCGGAACACAACCACCCTAAGTCCCTGACACCCTCACGTCAAACCCACAGGAGTACGGTCAGTCTGTTTGTGACTTTACTTCCAGGTGTTCGTTCTTTCCTTTGTTGTTCCTTATGAATTAAACAAACTTGCTTTTGAGTATCTGACAAGACAACAGCTAATGAGATCACTGTCGCAACTGCAAACTGAATTACCAAAATCATTAAACATTCAGTAAGCAATCACTGCCGTTTAGATTCTGGGCAAGATAAAAAGATACGATTCTGCCCTTAAGAAGCTTCCAACTTTTTTAGATTCCACATGTAAGTGACATCATGTGGTATTTCTGTTTCTGTGCCTGGCTTTTCTCGCTTGGCATAAAGTCTTCCAGGTTCATCCACGTTGTTGCAAAGGTGACTATAGTTAATAATAACGTATTTCAAAGCTGCTAAGAGAGTAAATTTTAAATGCCTCACTATGAAAAAAAAAGATAAGTGAGCTAATGAATATATTAGCTTGATCCAATCATTCCACATTATGTACATATATCAAGACATCATATTGCACCCCATAAATATATACAATTATGTGGCAATTAAAAATAATAAAAAAATAAAAGTTTACAACCAAGCTGGAGGAAGACACAGAAGTAGAGGAAACTGCCACACACAGAAGAAACACTGCAGCAGCTCTGGAGAGACGTGTGGTGAGGGAGGCAGCGCTGCACGGAGAGGGTAACCGCTGGGAACACCTCCCAGCTCACCCCACTCCTCTCCCTTCTGAGTCAGCAACAAGCCTTAGTTCCTAGGATTTGCCCTACTCTTCCCCACTCCAACTCCAGCTATCAAAATGCCAATTATTTTTGAAGCTTATCACACATTATCTTCTCCCCCCAAAATCTCCTCTGTAAGACGTTATTGTAACTACTTTCCTCTAAGCCTTCATCAAACTTTTTATTTCTGTCTCCCTCTATATGGCCCTTCTGATACCTGTGCTGTGTTAGAATTATTTGTGTATCATCATCCTTGCTGAAATCATAAACACCTTCACTGTCCATAAATGTTACCTAAGTGCACCTGCCTGGTTGGTCCTGACTGTCTAAATGCTAAAAAGCAGGACTTAGGCCTCAACAACTCACTCCAGATGGTACTTAAGCCAGCTCTACGCCCGAAGAACTGAATAACCACCAGTGTCTTTACGGAACCTCTATCGCCAGAGCTGTCAAGCCCAAGGGCCCCAGTGAGCAGATGACTCACCTCCTTCATCGCCATCAGCTCCCCCGTGTCAACACTGATGCAGGTGTAGACCTTCCCATACTGGCCTTCCCCTGTGAACGATAGGAACAGGCTCCTCTTTCAGTCACCACAGGTAGGTTAAGTCATTTAAACTTATAATAATACTGTCCAATTGTTCCAGAGGCATATTTATATATAATTATGTTCATTATAGTTAACTACTGTAAGACTCAAAATAGTTCTGAATGTTCCCTAATATTAATAACTGAAGTCTTAGGCAATCTCTTCAATATGTCTTATCTGTAAATATCTTTAAATAGAGTAGAACTGACTGGGGCACATCCCAGGAGAGGCATAAAGATGACCCGTAAGCAGCCCTCGTGCCCCTCAGGGAGGGCTGGGCTGGGGGCACAGGGGAGCAGCCAGGAGTGAGCTCACTGTGCGTGTCCAGGGGGTGTGGGAGCAGACATTCTCCTGACAGACCTTCCAGACATTAAGCCAAGGGGATATACAGCTGAACAATATAACAATAATTAATAAAATTTATAAAGTACTTGATTTTTAGTGTCTCTTGCCCTACTAGACAGCTCTAAGGGACCCTCAGGTTTCCTGAGGCTACCAGAGTCTCATATTACAACTGTGTTTCCCCTTCAGACCTAACTGCTTGACAGATAAATGCATTTAAATAGGGGAAGGGTCTGAAATATAATCAGGCTTCTTCCCTCACACAATCTACCCTAGTTATTTTACAGTAAGCAGTTTTACCTGGAAATTAATTAGGCAATTTTTGAGAAAAGAAGATTCTCCTGTCCTTATTTGTATGCAGCCTCTCTTCAAATAATGTTCTTCTGGGAACAGGTAAAAAGAATAAAACTAGAACAAACATGTAAAATTTCGGTACTTCTCCACTAGCAACTTCTGGAGTCACAAAGCAAAATGATTCAATTTAATGAACCATTTAAAAATCTCTTTCTAAAATCTCATTTTGTATTGCTCTTAGAATACATCTTGCAAATTAAACAACAAAAAACTAGACCGCTCTGCAAAAAGACACAATTTATTAATATATTTGCCACGTCTATGAGAAAAACGACCGACTATATAGGACTTAACCTAAAGAAGTGTAGCTATTGCTATTTTGTACACAAACTTCACATTATGGTCCTTAGTTTCCTTACCAATTTTGTTTCCTCTTTGCCACTTGAAGGTCACCTTCCTCAAGCCAACATGCATAACATTGTCATAGCATTTAGGAGTATCACAAACTTGACCAATGATATTCTTTCTCCTCATTTCTCGGTACCTCTTTTCTTCAAATAATCGGACTGACTTCTGGATAGCTTCTATGGGCCCTTGTTTAGAAGCAGAATCTGCAGAGAGAACAGCAAACTCATTAGTCTCAATCACTGTTATCACGTCAATTTCTAACAACTAACAATAAAAACTGAGCAATATACATTAGTACTCCATTATAGGAAGGCTTATCATTATATATTGAGATAAACAGCACGTGAATTAGAGTCCTTCAAAATCTAATAATTCCAGCATATACCACCCATTACACAATACACACACAAAATATAAGCTAGTCAGACAAAAACTATTTCTCTCCCAAATTGTCAGTTAGACCTGTGGTCCCCAATCCCCAGGCCGCAGACCAGTACAGGTCCCTGGCCTGGTAAGAACGGGCCGTACAGCAGGAGGTGGGCAGCAGTTGAGCCAGCAAAGCTTCATCTGTGTTTATAGCCCTTCCCCATCGTGCACATCACTGCAGAAGCTCCGCCTCCTGTTAGATCAGTGGCGGCATTAGATTCTCATAGGGGCGTGAACCCCACTGTAAATTGCATATGCAAGGGATCTTGGCTGCACACTCCTTATGAGAATCTAATGCCTGGTGATCTGAGGTGGAGCTGAGGCAGCGATGCTAGCGCTGGGAAGAGGCTGCAAATACAGATAATCATTAGCAGAGAGGTTTGACTGCACGATTATGCGCTTGAATCATCCAGAAATCATCCCCGCACACCTCCCACCCTCCAGTGGAAAAACTGTCTCCCATGAAACCGGTTCCTGGTGCCAAAAAGGTTGGGGACCGCTGGGTTAGACTACTGCAGTTACCAACCTGCCTCTAGTTTCCCCTCTCTCCCATCCACTCTCGTTTGCCAGAATTATTAGAACACAAAATGTGATCATGTTACTGTCCTACATAATTTATTTCACAGTTCTCCACTACCTATTAATCAAAAACCCAAACTCCTTCATACGGGACTCAAGGCTCTGCAGAATCTGGACCCAGTTTACCTTTTCTGAATCTTCACACTAGCCAAACTGAAAGACTCATGAAACACACCAAACTGTTTCTCACTTCCATGACTCCTTCACACTTTTCCCTCTGCCTAAAATATCTTCTTCCTACCACAGAACCTGGTGAGTAAACCCTACTTACACAGCTCAGCTGAAATGCCATCCCTCTTGTAGGAAGCCATCTCTGATGAGGAGGGAATGGCGTTTCCCGTTCTCTGGGAAGAATACAGAGTAAGGGAGCTCTACAATTAGAATGCCTGGGATAAAATTCTGGCCTCACCATTTTCTAGGTGTTTGACAATGGACAAGTTAATTGACTTCTTTATACATTAAATACTTACTCAGTAAAATGAAGGCAATAATACCTAATTCACAGAACTATTGTGAGGATTTAATGAAATAATACTTGTAAAGCATTTAGTATAGTGCCTGGAACACAGGAATACTCAATAAGTATTACCTATTATTATTATTCCCCATTTCCTTTCAGGGTCTACATCTCTATTTCCCCAATTTATTTTATCATGATTTACAGTAAAAAATACCTTTCGCACATACAGATATCTAAAATTACAGATTCATGAAACATTACTGCCTTTACTACAAGTGACACCATCCTACTCTTTTTTAAAAAATGCTGATCACATTCACTAAAATTTTACAACCCACCAGTGAGTCACAACCCATAACCAGAAAACCACTGGTTTATGCACATCTCTATGACAGTACTTCTCATACTGTATCCTAATTAGCTACCTAAGAGCCTGAGTTTTCTGGCAGACAAAGAGATCCTTGAAGATCAGGATGAATGTAAGGTTAATCTAAGAAGAGGAATTTCCAAAGATTCACGATGTTCCAGTTACAGTTTCTTACCACGATCGCTTCTTTAAAACATGGATCCCATTTTGTTTCCTTGCTGTGTCACCCAGCACCAGACCAGCTTTGAACAGCTGTCCACTGCCAAATATTTCTGGGACAGGCTTTTTTTTTCAATAACAATTTCTCAAGATGTCTCAGTCTTTAATATGTCAATATGAACTGTAACTTCCAAAGAGGAACACAGTTCCAAGTGGTTCCCAAGTTTACTTGACCACCAAGTATTTGTTCTGAAAAGCATGGCAAGGACCTGGGATCCAGGGGAACTGCTGGTTACATGTGAGCCTGGACTCCCTGGACACACATCCAATCTGTCAGGAGCTTGTCAATCATTACAAGAAAGTTGTTTCTTGTCACCATTCCCTTTTTTAACTCCCACTTTAGTCCAGTATCCTATATTTACGCCGAATTACTGCAATGGTGTTCTAACTCATCTTCCCATTTCCTCCCCAGTTCTTGCTGGCAGGTGAATCTACCTCACAGCGTCTTAAGTCCCCACCCTCCTGCTTCCCAATCACACCAGGTGCTCAAGAGCCTTCAGGGCTTGCCCACCACCTCTGGGTAAGGCCTTAATTACTTAACCAGTCACTGAAGGCTGTCCACGATCTGATCTCCCTTCACCCCTGCAATTTCACCTGTATTTACATCCACATCAGCCAGGCCAGCCCCGCTGGTCTGTCCCATAGTCACCAGGCCTCCAGGTATGTTTCTTTCTATGCCTTTCTTCTTGGCTTGCTGCAGACCTGTCTTCCCTTCAAGGGCCAGCTCAGCCTCCTTCCTCCATGAAATCCTTCCAGACTGCGCTGGGCCTCAGGGGACAAACACTGTTCTGATCAGCCCCACACAGTACACAAGGGTGCTGCAGTGGGGAGAGCACCGCACTCGGAGACAGAAGAGCCTTCTAGTCCCAGCTCTGTCATTTACTACCTTGACCAAATTAGCCTCAGAAACTGTTTTATCATTTATGAAAAGAGAGCAAGATCTATTCTGCCTATTGCTCAGGATTGTTCTGACAAAAAAACACATGAAAGCATTTTGTAGACCCTAAAGTGCCAGAACAGTGATTTTTCTATTTATTCTTTTGACTAATATTAATCAATCCCCTACTTCACAAGGTCTTTCCCTCAACTTGTTAGCATAAAAAAAAGAATGGTTATTTATTTCACAAATATTTATTATAATCCTCCCATGTACAAATAATTATGCTGAGCTGCTTTAAGAATATAAAGATGAGTAAAACATATTCTTGATCCAAAGGAACTTGTAATTCGTTAAAAGAAATAGAAAATATATATAGTACACAATAAAAAGTGATGTCAGAGATATAAATGGGATCACGAAACAGTAACGTAGAAGGTCTAATAATTAAGAAACTAAAGCAAATTTTAACTGAAACTGCTCACCTTATGCTTAAACATTCTGAATTTAACATCCTTCGTCTTACCTTTAGTCTGGCTGATAAGCGTCCGAAGTTCCCAACTTCTTCGTGTTGACCCACTTGAATCACCTCTCGGATATGCTGGTTCTACAAGAAGTATGTTTTTATACAAATTAAGATTTATGAAATAAATATGCTAGAGAACAAGATCTGAAATGGTGAATGGCAATGGTTACCATCCACCTCTCCTTTCTGGTGATTAACTTATAGTGTATTTGATGTGGATGCAAGAAACTATCTCTGCAATCGATTCTAGAAAATTGTACCAAACTAAGAAGTTGTTAACGGGGTAGCAAAATTTTAACTATATCAAACTTTCCACAAGTAACAGACAATAAAATACTTCACAGAAACTGGATTCCTTGGGAACCCCCTTCAAGAGATTGACTCCAGGAGTGCAGCCCTGCTATGACAGGAGCAGGGACCTGCTTTCTGGGCAAACACTCCCGAGGGCTGCATTATACGAAAACTTCTGCATATGACCAACACACACAGTGTGTTTTGTATTTTTAAAGTGAACAAAAGTACTCAACAGTGGAAATACCAGGAAGAATAACTTTTTTAAAAGCAAAGAAAGCAAACCTAGAAAATGCAAATACAGGTAAAAAAGGCAACTATAATAAAAAGCCAACATGTTTTGCATTAAACCTTCTCATAAACCCAGGTTTCTTCTTACTCATCATTCCTTCAGAAAGGAATGAATACAAGAATCATAAGGGAACCCTCATGAAGGTGTTAACAGAAACCGGTGCACTGAGACAGATGAAGAGGCTGGTTTTGAATGCAGTTGAATCTTAAAACACTCACCATCTCGCTCCTCCGTGGGGCTTGAGTGACGACTCAAGGACCTAAACTGCAATTCAGCAGCTATGGAAGCCAACCGATCATTTTCAGGGACACTGGAACCCCTGTTTTAATATTTTTAACAATTGAGCTATCAATTCAATGGAATTCAAAAGATCTGTGAGATTCTTCTAGAACAGTGATTCTCAAATGGGGGTAATTTTGCCTCCCAGGGAGGCAATGTCTGGAGACACCTCTGACTGGCATGACTGGGAAGGTGCTACTGGCATCTAGTGGGCGAAGGACACCGCACAGGACAGCCAAGAATTAATGAAGAGTGCCGCTGCCAAGCGCCTCCTCTGGAGTCTGGAAGGAGAGCTCCGTTTTCATCTCTCCACAGCTAACACATGAGACTGGGAGCATCTGCCTGCTTACTACCTTATTTTATATTTGACGATAACAGAAATATAAACAAAATGCTTTATTTGTTACTGACATACATGGAAAGCTCCATAATTTAAGCTGAGGATGAATAAAAATATATAAGCCAAATCTGGCTAATATTTAAAGTTACCATCAAATTTTATTTATGTATTTATTTCTATTTAAAGTACTAAGATCATTACATGGTCCAAAAGATTTCAAATCTCTTAACAAGACAATGGAAGGGAATCCCTGATGATTTCTCAAGCAGTAGCCAAGCAAAAGTGCAAAAGAGCAAGAAGCTTAATATATTAAAGTACAAAGTTAATTTGCTGCTTTTCCGGAATAAAGTTAAATGCTCAGCATAAAGTTAAATGCTCAGCAACCAGAGTGAACCCATAAAGAGTAAAAACTAAAATTAAATAAGAAAGTGTTAAAATTATAATTCAAATAATCAAAGAACCCAAAATAAATATGGCATTAGTTTATTAAAGTCATTTAATGTGCATTTTTAAATTAATGAGATAATGAAGTATGGTAGCATTTATGCTCTTTTTTATTACACACTGAATAGGCTGAAGGCAGCATGATCTATTGCATAGACATTCACAAATGATGAAATATACAATATTTTTTGTATTTCCCTAAACCCTGATCATAAAGTGCTAATACAGTACTTAAAGTCTGAAGTGAGGAAGGACATTTCTATTGCCATGTAGTTCATCAAAAACTTGGCATTATTTAATAGAAAAACCACTGGTGTTGAAGTGAAAAACATATTCCATTCCTAAGCAATACCAGAGATGGGAGGACCGCAGAGAAGTCATTTAACACCTCTATTTTCCTGATTTCCCACAGGAGAAATAAGCCAATTCTACGTCCTTCAGAGACTTTTTGCAAGAGTAAAAGGCAAGAACATATACTTGTGAAGTGATGCATTGGTGAATGTTTAACTAGCTGTGGGGTGGGATGGAAGGGTGGGTCGTAGTAGAGTTTGCCAATTTCTATGGTGAAACAAGTGGCTTGCAAGATTCCTGAAAAATTAACAATCAGCTTTTATGAGTCAGCAGGAGCCAGCTCCAGCAAGCACACAACTGCAAAAATGTTTTTATAAACAACAGTAAGACAATTTAAGCCCAGAATAGATACTTTCCAGGTCAAATAAAATCAATTAAAAGGACCAAGTGAAACTGAATTTTGGTTAATACATCTCTAGGACAGGCAAGTCCTGCACACAGTGGGCTGTGGCATCCTTGTGGACACTGGACATCACCGATGTCATCCTGCCTCCCCACAGCATATTCATAAACCCACAGCCATGCTGAGACTCGGGCCCCACAGTGTGCCTCAGGAGCCGTGAACCGAATCCACCAGCCACTCCTGCGGCCCACTACCCAGGCTCACCGTGAAGGTGCTGAGGCTCGAAGTCAAATCAAGTGTGTGCAAGGCCTGAATGCAGAAGGGGTCTAATAGCCAGCCCAGCCACCTATTCAAGAGGCTTTGCTCTTCTCGACCCACCACCACATACACAGTCAAAAAGTAAAAAAAAAAGCTTGGATCCTCTGTGGAAAAATGGCCTTCAATATAGCATACTGTGATGCTATTAAAATTCCTAAACATCAAGGATTGTCCAAATATGTCCAAATTTAAGAGGAATACCTATGAAACGCTATTCATAACATGCTAAAAAACTGCTCATGCAAGGTGTAAGACTAAATTGCATGAAAAGGCCAACTGCAGGCATTTAATTCTTATCCTAAAATACACTTAATGTATCACACTACCACTTATAAATGCCTTAAACCATAGTTCATTAACATTTAAAAAAGTGGGAAGTCACTTCCCATCGTCTAGTTCTGGAGTAATCTCTTGTGAAGATGGACACAGCAGGTGTGGGAACCAGGAGCCAGAGTCTGGTCAATTTTCTCAGCTGTGTCTGCATTTTAGGCCAGACTTCCCTGAAGTCTTTATTGTGTGAATAACAAAGGTAGTTTCAGTAGCCCCCACACAGGGATATGAAAGCGTAGGTGAAAACATTTGCCATGAGATGCTCAAAACATACAGAGCATAAATGGAAATTTGTTCAATGTTGTTAATGTTTTTTAGTTGACTGCGTAAGCTGTCAAATACTTTGATATTTTTAGGTTATAGGCATTTATCACTAAAAATTAGGAATATTATTTTAACAATTGAGAAGACCGAAAGTGCAGAAATTCTAGACTGTTATTAAATAAGTCTAAAAACATTTTAGTCTATTTTAAAATCTAAAGCTAGATGTCATCTTCCTGCCAACTTCCAAACTAATATTTTCTCCTAAGAACTGAACACAGAGCACTGAGTCCCATCACAATTTTACCTTTTTTGATCAGATCACCCCCAACCCAAATAGTCTTGACTACATTGCCTTCCTTATTGGAAGATGAGAATACTGACAGTGTTTCTTCTACTCAGATACAAGGTGAAATTAAAAAAGATCAAAAGTCCTTTCTCCATTAAGTATATGAGAACTTGATGAATTTCTCTGCCAAAAAACTAGAATGGAAAAAACTACAAGACCCTCCTTACTTACACAAAAGACTTAATGTAAGAGACTTAAATTTTTCCGGAACTTGCCAAATGTCTGGCAGTTCTCTCTGGCAAAGATCTATTCTTCATGACATACAAATCCCATGCACTCATTTTTCCAATCTTAAAAACTACTTCTAATCAACCATTATTCAAAATTAGGAAATCCAGTTAGAAAATTGATCTTCCAAAAAAAAAAAAAAAAATCACCACCTAACCAGACCATCTTTGAACTGCCTTGTGACTCCTCAGGAAAGGCTCTGTTAGCCAAAATTCTCACATTCCCTTCTATTGTGGGCCAGGTTCTTTCTTCTGATATTCCTTCCATGGAGTTATTATCGGCAAAGGATCTGGTTATTTTGGCTAATATTAGCTCCAAAGAAATATTAACATCAGGCAAATGATCTATTTGTGCTGGTCAATGCCAGAGCCCTGGGGCTGAGATAACCCACTGAAGGCCCTGAGCACCACTCACAGCCCACAGGAAAGCAGCCCACTTGGACCCTGCAACATGCCCTAAGGCTCAGGTCACTATGGAAGAGCACATGAGGGGAGGCAGGGGACGTGACGCTGATGGAGTGAGACTACCTGGTATCATGGGCACTGCTGATGGGTTTGGGCGACACAGAGTCACCGCCAGAAGGGCTGGGGCGACCAGCGGCGGCAGCAGCAGTAGCAGCAGCAGGGCCGCTGTGGCTCCGTGCATCCGAGGGCACGCTCCGGGTGCTAAGGGGAGGAGAAAAGGGCATGGACTTGCAATTAAAAATAAAATATGGCAAGGAAGTGAAAAATATTTAAAAATATAAAACACAAATTGTTCTTTGACATTCAAGGCTAAGTGTAAAAAAGAAAAAACTAATTTCAAAGATTTTTAAAAAATAATTCTGGTCCTTACCTAGCAAATACCATCAAATAAAATTAACTTTTAAAAAGTGATTACACAGGGTAGAGAAGATGCTCACTACCTCAAGATGCAGAAATGCCACCACATTCAAGGAAATTATTGTGAATATACTACAGTTTCTAAACTCACTTTAGTGTTTAAGTTGCTTCACAATTACATATAAACATGAAAGTCAAGACTGGATAGGTCATTCCAGTTTATTTCCACTTTTAAAGTGGTATTTAGTATTGTTTTTCAAATGTTTATTATGCTATGCACACTCAAATTTGCTTTCCTAATGTAATTTTTCAAAGAAATAAAAGGAAAGAAGTACTCCAAAACTGGAAAGCATTTAGTAGCTCGAGGTTACAAATAAGCTGAGAAATGAAGTTATCTTGAAAGGTAAAGGTCTGTTTTAAATTTGCATGTCTTTTCTTTTGCAACTAAGGCTTCAAGATAACACAAATAAGAGCTTTTAAAAGTGTATGAACAAGAACAGAGAATGAATATTTAGCTCTCAGAGCAAGCACCCAGTAGTTTCAAGAGTAAGAGCATGCACATCAGAGAAGGCTGCATAAAGCAAATGACTAGATGAGCACCAAATACCTGAATCCCTCTGGAGTTGGGATAATTAGATGTGGGTTAGGAGGGTCACTATGACATCGAGGTACCTTCACAGGACGGGGGCTGTTCCGATGAATAGCTGCCAGTGAAAATGGCAATAAATGCAACTTGTTAAAATGGTCCATAGAAAACTGCGAAACCAAGCAACTAATAAATATATTAATAGAATGTCATTTAATTTTGCCAGTGACCAAAAATAAGTTTATATAAGTAAAAAATCGTATTACATATACAAATGTCACGGAAAATGTCACCTTTTAAAAGTTAATAAAGCTATATTACACATTCAAATCTTTCCCCATCAAAAACATTTTTTAAATCCTGGAGTGAAATGTACATAATGTATGCTAAACAAATGATTTAACCAATTGTATAGATAAATGAAAATGTGGCTTATTTGGCATATTCCTAATAAAAAGGAGTCTTTATGTTATCTACGCTTTAAAAAGATTTTAGTCAGTGGCAACGCATTGACAGGTCCTGCATTTAGGATTATTGTTATTTTCTTGGGTACATGGAGTTTTATTTAATTCCTTTAAACCAATCCAGGCGGATGGGGCACAATTATTTGGGTTATTTTTCTTTTCAGAGTATGTTTTCTTCTCTTTGTCTTTTAAATATGCTGGTAAAGGTAAATATGGATACAATTTTAAATGAACTTTAAAACTAGGTAAAATTTAACAATTTAAAACGAGAAATCTTCTCTAGTGATTACAAAAATGCTGACAATTCCACTTTCCCAATATCTAAATGTAAATAGCAATAGATGACTTATATTTTGTATATTTCTCCCTAACATGTTTTTCTCTACTTTTAAAAATCTGTTTTACTTTTAACAATCTCCTTAGTTTTTTTTTAAATATTTTCATTTCATGGTAGTAATTTTAGGCTATGCATGTTTTATCCTAAATGGAAATCCTCTTTCTTCATGGTCTTGTTTGTTTCCTATTAATAATAATATAGATGAGAGACAGAAATACCCAAAGTACCCAAAATGGAGACATCTGAAGTTCCCTTGCAAAATTCACAAAACAAAAATCAAGGAGTTATTCACACAAAATTCAGGGAAACTGTGTCTTCGGTTCGTTATCTGAGCTATCACAATGCCAAATGGAAGAAATTCAATAGTAACAAAAGTAAAAAGAAAAAAAAAAACAAAAAACAAAAATGATTAGGTGAGAATGATGTCTTTAATTCAGCACAAATACTGGGAACTATAGAGTCAAAAATTACTACAAAATTTTCCCATGAAGCTATAAAGACATTCTGTTTATTGGTGAACATTATAGAGATGTTTTTCAAGGCCCAAAGTCTCATCAAGAAATGATCCATCATGGCCACAATGTGGCTAACAAAAAGAATGATTTAGATCTATACCTGTTGACATGCTGAAAGTTCTACAATTGTCAGAGACAAAAAGCAAGAGATTAGTATCTAAAATGACCCAATTTTTGTACAGTAAATGACAGGAAAAAAACCTGCTCTTTATATGCTTGTGGGATTAAATGAGCATACAGAAAGGTATGATAGAATGCATTTATGTAATTACATGCCTACACAGAAAATACAGAAGGTTACATTCCAGATTGTTATCATTTGTTACGTGCTTAGAGCAAAGGGAAAAAAGTAACAACAACAGAATGACAGTTGATGTGGTCTCATTTTCATTAATTTCTCTTGTAAGAAAAAAACACAAAACCAAATGATGACCGCTGTTCTATACGCAATACCAGAGTTTACAAAACATTATTACCTTATTTAATCCTTATTAGCATCCAATTTTAAGCATTAAAAGAGGAACCTCAATGACGTTAAATGAGAAGCCCTAAGTCAACTGCTGATGGGCAGTCTGACTCTGAGTTCAATTCCACCATCCCACGGTGGCTGAGAGGACAAAAGACAACCTGAGTCTACATGTAGAGAATGCTATGAATTAACTGTCCCACAGGCACAGAAAGCTTACTGACTCAGATATTACCAGTGAGTACCTCTGGATTATGGGAGCATTTTTTCTTTGTAGTAATTTTTTTCTACATTGAAATTTTTTCTAAATGTACATCTTCCACATTTTTCTATATAGTTTTTCTACAATGAAAATGGTTCCTTATGCAATAACATTTTAAAGAAGTAATTTTTATTGAATCATTGATCATGTATTCTTACAGAAATATTTTAAGAGATCAGAAAATAAAAATCTCTTCATGATAATATGCTTAAGCAAAATTTTGATAAGAATGCAGCATGCTTTATATAAAATGGTCAAATAGTTCTATAAATAACTTTCATTTTTTCCTAATAGCCTTGGAAGGAAAAAGAGTTGTATAAACTGAGTGAATTTTAAAGATAAAAAACAAACAATTAAAATGAGTGTTCTTACTAAATTTTCTATAGCTTGCAAGTACCCTTTAAGAAATATAGTTGGTGTTCAATAATTTATCATTTAATGAATTATTTTTTGTAATTTAAATTGCATCAGATCTCTAGGTTACATATAAATACAGTTTTGTTTTATTTACAAACTATCTCAAGAATGGCATAAGACAGCCTTTTCTTGATACATATTTTGGTTTTAAAATTTCAATATACACTGTAAAACTGTACATTATTCAACATACACTGTAAAACTACATTAACTGTAATTGAAAATTGTAATTAATGTATATTGTAGCATAACTTGATTTTTAAAAGTAAAACCAAATCAGAATTGACTGCGGTTAGTGAGGAAATGAGAACTTAGAGAAGCTGTGGAGAAAACAGATGGGCCTCCCCTTCAAACCGTGAGGAAGAAGCAGCAGATAAAATGTCCTCGCCCCCTACAGCAGGGTAGGCTCCTGCTACTTGCAGACAACTACCTCTTCCAGCCTGTCCTTCCCATAAGAAAAGATTTTAAGGAAGAGAATAGAATGGTAATGTTAGTGTAGGAAAAAAAAATTGTAGTTTAACACTGCTGGCTAGTATGGAATAACTTATGTTGGCATTTTAATCTTCCTGTCAGGTTTAGAAAGATTACTGTGGAGTTCTCTATATATGCATGAACCTCATTTCTGTCACTTTCAATGTCATTTTCCTGAATAGTCTTAAAACACCTCTTACACCATTTTAAATGACTGCAATCACAAGACCAGTATGTTCCAGGAGAAATGCTGTAACAGCCGTCTTACCAAGGTACAAACCTGTAACAGGACTGTGTGGTTTTCCTATGACATGGCCAATGCATTCATTCATCAAGGCTTGTAAACTCTAGAAACCAAAGGAAAATGGCAATGGAGAAGAGAAAGGATGTGTACTCTTCTTAATTATACTAGTAACACAAATTAGGTTTTCGGTATATTTTAGAAAACATGCTACCGTAAGTAAATATTTTCAAAACTAGGCTAAAAGAAAATAGGTATAAACATAAATTAAACATAAACTATATACAATTTAAAATAATGGTAGCACACAATTTTATTTGTATAAATAAAAGCAAATTAGCAATTTCCTACAATGCAATAATGGGCATAAGCAAAGAACTTTTCATGTAATCATTTCTACTATTGGGAGAATAAAATGAATGAATGAACATTTTGAACAACATCTCTTTGATCTGATGGAATTCATCAGACTGACAGTGATAATATTTAACACGAACATTATGCTCTCAAATGATGCACACTGAAGTGAAATAGCTAATCCTTGTTCTCTTCACTAAACTGCCAAAAAGCAGTAACTACAATGGAGTTTATAAAATACAAAACTAACAAACATTTAAGAGATGCCAGGGTTTACAAACAACTAGACATTGACTTAGAACACTATTGTTACAAGAAGAAAAGAGCACTGAGTATCTTACTATGCTATTAAGAGTGCTTTAACTTCTCAGCATTATCATTACAATTACTATTTAATAAAAAAAAATTAAGAACCACTATTATAATATATATAAAAAACATACACAACCAGGAAATAGAGAGTGATCAACCTGTTTTTAAATGTAAAAAACTTTAGGATACTCCATACCAAGAAGTCATCTTCTGGTAAAGCTGAAATGAAGGCAGGTTCAATTGCTTGTAGAAAATCAAATCCTTGAGTTGCCCACCTGTTATGTGAAAAAGTTCAATAGTCACAAAACAACCAAGAAAATGCTACAGCAGTTCTCAACTGTATCTAATTGGGAAATTATTACCTAGAACAAAACATATTTTTCTGTCTGTATATAGATACCTGAGTTGAGAAAGTTTATAGTGTGACCTTTTGGGAAAGAAGGATAAGGGTTTCTTTTAATTTAATTTGATTTTTAAGCAAATGGGAAGCATGGAAGATTTTAGATGAAATGGGTGCCATTTGTAATTCAACAATTATTTGAGTTGTGTAAAATAAAGTTCCTATTTGTAGTTACAGGTGTAACAAGTGTGTATTTTCTCTCACTTGGAGTAACGGTTTAACGGCTTTAAAAAAGTGCCCCATAATGTCCCTTCATTATGAACTACAGAACACCCAGCTACTTTTCACACAGTCATGATACTTTAATAACTCTGTTTACTTAGTGGAACTCCTCTTGAGTCTCACAGACGATTTACACACTTCCCCCTGCAAATTCCAAAATGGTTTCTTAATAAACAAACTGGTTACCAAATTGTTTTCCATTTATACCAAGTCCTAGATTTCATGAGGGAGGAAAAAAATAAGCAATCGGGAAGACTTGTCCAGGAGAACATGAACTCCCTTAAAGATATCTCAGCTTGGAACAAATTATTTAATAAATGTTTTTCCAAGAGTTACGGGGTTTTCTGTGTATATATTTTCATGTAAAAAACTGTTCACCAAAGAGTTCAGAAAGCTCCCTTTTGTGTCATCTGCTCAAAAATCCCACATAACATGCACGAACAAAGGGCTGCCAACCCCACATGACTCATTCAGGAAGTATCCTACTTGGTTGTTACCTGGGCCTTGTACCTCTACCACTCTCACACTTAGTCAGGACGTAATTCATCCATTTCCGGGCGAAGCTTATATATTTGTCTCCTATCTTCTGCCTGAACTCTCCAGACATCAGACGAACAACTTCTTTATGATACTGTAAGAAGATTTCATGTACATAAAAATTAAGAAGAAAACAACCATTATAGTAATACTGACACACTATAATGCATGTCTAAAATGTCATTTTCTGAAAACAAAAAGTGAAATACAATTAAAAGTAAATATTAAGATTTATATTAATACATTTCGAACAGTATGAACAATTATATAAAGTATAGTGTCCCAAAATGCAGTTTCATAAATGTTCTACTAAGTTTAAATTAAGAATGTACTTTTAGGATATTAAGTATCTCTTAACGTTTTAAGATGTAAGCAGGTAACTGTTGGCACAAAATAAAACATGGGCAGCTATCTGACAGTTTAAAAGTAAACTAACACTTTGATATCCAGCAGCAGTATAAGATGACATTCTTGACTAAGCTGTGATTACAATTAATATCAGATTTACCGTAAAAGATTCATAATACTTTCTGTAGGTAAGTTACCAAGCAACTACTAAACTGTACTACATGTTTCCTCTTATTTTGAACTTACCTCAAACCCAAAATTGTACGCCTGAATCATTGCTTCTCGATAGTACTGTTGCAATGTGACAGATTCGGATTCATCAACTTCTGCATCAAATTCCGACGTAAACATGTGGTCCACTCGGTCAATGGCATTGCTTATTCTGTTGCACAGCTCTAATGCATCATTCTGAAGAGTGCCAAACCATGATTAATCCAAAACAAAGCGAATCACACAATACTTATTGCATTTTAAAGACATTTACCATTGCAATACATTTCAGCCACATTTAGTTATCAAAATGACCGAATATAGAGATTTTTCATTTTTATTTGTATTAGACATTCTTTAACATCTTATGAAATACAAGAGAACAAATCCATTTGAAATGATAATATCTGATTCTAATCTAGTCTTGGAATAGATGCTTATGTCTTCAATATTTTTGTATATTAACCTACCTGTTGCTTTTCCTCTCCAGATGGTAGCTCAAGCGTAAGTATGGTTTCAATCCCACAGAGTGAAAAAACCCATGTTTCTAAATGGCCTCCACAATGTCATCAAATCACACTGTCCTTCTTATTCCATGGTTACTGTCTCACCAGGGGGTTCTCAACTGGGGCTGATTTTGCCCTCTCCCATGTCTGGAGACATTGTCTCGAGATATTTTTGATTGTCAAAACTTGGAAGAAGGGTAGAATCTAATGGCATCTGGTGCCAGGTGGAGGACAGAGATGCTGCTCAACATCACACAATGCACAGGACAGAACCCACAACAAAGAATTAGTGGCCCAAATGTCCACAGCGCTGAGGCTGAGAAGCCCTGCCTGGGCTCCAGCTTTTGTTACCTCTCTCAGCAACACCACAGTTGCTCCAAATTGGTCTCCCTTTCCACCCGACCTTAATCGCACATGTGCACACACAGTCTCCATCAAGCAACACCCTACATATTGTTACAAAACATTCTTCCAAAATCTTCAACATCCTGAGGCTTAAATAAAACCTGACATCTCTCAACAATCTGATTTTCATCCTCCTTATTTTACCAGTCTTATCTCTTACTGCTTTCCATTGTATACATCAAGACACAGCCAAATTAGACCATGTGATATTCAGTGAGCACACTCATAATCTCGATCCATGGACATCAACATTCAAATGTTCCTTTTGTCAGTTCCTTCTCAATTTGCATCTTTTGAACTTCCCAAACTGAAATGCTACTATAGTACAATTCTCAGAGGCTATCAGGAGACTCTAATTTTTCTGTCCTCTGTACTTTAGTGTGACAATTCAGGGCATTAGGGCTATAAATTCCATAAACTCAAGAATAGTCAATATTTTACATAATCTTGCCCTCTCCAGAGTTCACTGGCTTAAGCTAAAAGAAAAAAGTCCCCTGCTCTGGTAATAGGGTGGGATTATAATCTATAAGCAAGATAAGATAAATAGTTAATAAATGTTTATAGATAAATAAGACAAATCATATTAACAGAAGAAAAACAAATGTTTATCAAATGACTTATAATTTCAGAAAGTGCTGCTTTTGTGACTGAGAAGACATAATTTATGGCCTGTGGAAAACTGTGGATGAGACTGAGACTGATAAATGGCAAACAAAATAGAAAGTAGTGAAAACAGAAAACAATGGGGAAAGAAGGCAAGGCTCTGACTTGTCACAAACTTTGAAAAGCATTCGTGCCTGTCTAAAACTGGTTTTTCCTAGTATAGTTAATTTGGCTGAATTATTTGTTAAAATAATAAATCTTTCAGATTACGCATTACTAACATGACATAGCTCTGGCAACTGTTAAAGGAGAAAGAAATTTACACTGGAAATGAAGAGACCTGAATTCCAATCTCAGGTTTGCTGCTAACCAGCCACGTGACCATTAGGAAGTCACATAACTGCTCAATTTTCTAACTTCTCCAAATCTAAATTACTACAGTTCAAAGAAAGATCCAGGAATTTTTAGTTTAGACATGAAAAAAATGTGTACTGGGGAGAAGCAGAATGGGGCAGAGCAATTTAAGAGCTCAAGTTCCTTGAAAGATACTACATTACACAGCATGACACCCTGATTCTTCCACAGCATTAATCCAAAGGGAAACAGATTCGCTAAGGCAGAGGGAATGGCGCAATACCTTTAGCTGCTGCAAAGCTTTGGCGATGACTGGCTGACTGGACGTCTGCTCTTGGCACAGAGTCATAAGTCCCTCGATGGACTGCTGGAAAGCTTTTCTCTGAATGGTGAGATGGGCAGACTGCATGACAACCAGTAAAAGATTATCCACCTGGGAGGAAAATCAAATATAGGGCATAAAAACAAACCCAGTTACTGTTTTCCCATTCCAGTCCAACATCTGTCCAAAAATAATGCCAGCCTCAGGGCTACCAGGCCAACAACCATCTGACCAGAAAGTCATTTTCAAGCAAAGCTGCTCCCACAGAGCAACAACTGCAGTGGGCCCTGACCTCTGGGATCTTCAGCATAGTGAGGAAGAATCCCACAGGAAAATGTGGGAATGACATCTTTGAAATATCCTAGAACTCCAAGTAGTGCAATGCTGGTGGTGCAGTGTGTGAGAGTGTGGGAGAGTGGGTGTATGTGGGTGTGGACGTGGGTATGTTGGAGCAGCAAGGGAAGACAGAATAGTCAGGAGTAAGAGTAGAACCAAATGAGGACCCTCATATGAAACATTAAGAAATCAAGACTTTTATTACTTTTATTCTTTAAGAGATAGAGTGTCATTGCAGTACTTTGAGTAGATCTGTGATGTGGTCAGATGTATGTATTACAAAAACAAATACAGAATTGGAGGGAAGGGAAGGTGAAGCTGGAAGCAGTGAAACCGGAAGTAAGAAACTGCAATAGTAGTTCAGGGAAGGGATGGTGAAGTCCTGACCGTGGCAATGCTCTGGGGATGCAGGGAAAGGGTCATTTACTGGAAATGCTTCTGCCCTGCCAGGGGTCGTGGTTAACTGGAAGGGTGGGAGTTTGAACAGATACTAACCGTCACATTTCTGGTTTAAACAAGTGCATGGACACAGCACGATTCACTGAGACAGGGAATATAAGAGCAGATTTGTCGGGGTGGAGAGAGACAGCAGGCCAGTATGCTCACGAGGTACATGTGCACGTTCGCCATCACTGCCCCAAAGCTGAACACGAGCAACACGAGTAGGCTTTTCACAGTTTTAGTTAACGAGTTACATAATTTCTTTTGGATCACAGCTCTACAGAGCTAACTACATGACTTAGCTAAGGAAAGGTATAAATAAAAGATGATTTCAAATATTCCAGTATAATTTAATATACTTAATAGAATTTGATGGACCATTTTGGTACAAATTATGTTGCAAAATTACCTATTAAAACATTGAAGCACATTTTGGGTAAGTATATACTTGAGATTACTTGGGCAGTTAATCAATCATTCATGAGCTGCTAGCAATCCATTTTTCCTAAAAGTATTTTAAGTAATACTGCTGAAAGGTTGGGGTGGGAGAGCTGGAGTGGGAACGGGAGTGGACGTACCTGCATGCTTCTCAGGGTGTCAACAGTCTCCACCTGAGGCACAATTTTGACAGGCTGTGCTTCCCACGTGGCCCAGCTATCCTCTGAATCACGGGCTCGATCACTCTGCTTGGTTAGAAGTAGGTAGGCATCGATGAACACGTCATCTGACTCTTTTGAACAGTCCTTTCCTGCAGCTGCATTGAGTAACTGCAAAATAATATTCTTCTCCTCAGCAAGAGTGTCTGGAACAAACATTTGCAAGTTTTCTAACCCAGGAATTTGTACCTAGAAAAGACATAATCCAAAATCTTAAATTAAGGAACAGTGCACATTAGAGAAATACATTATTTAAAAAAACAACTAGAAAAAGACAAGCAGGTTTGGGGAAGGAGATGTGGGAAAGGCATGAATCAGAGCAGCGAGGAGCACTGCAAGCAGCTCAGTTCAGTGTGACCGAGTGAGAGGGAGGCCCTTATGGAGTATCTCCCATTATACGGCATCCCTCTAGCTGTTTCATTCTCAACCACAAAGAAAATACTCTTTGGGGGAGGAAAGTGAGTCTGAAATAACCTCGATCGATGCTAGTTTGCAATGCTTATAGAAAGTCACCTGACTTGGAAAAAGGCAAAAACTGTTAACACAGATTCACTAGTTATTCTGGGGCAGGGTAGGGTGATCCTAAAAACTTTCTTAAAGATCATTTTAACAAGCAATACACATGATGATATTGTACAGGTCACGCATCTCGCCCTAGATATGTGAGTGGGGTAAAACTGTGGGCTTGGGACAAAATTTCCAGTGATGACATCATACACAGATTCTAAAGGTGCTAAAATCTCAAGCAACTTTAAAGTAGAGTAAAGATGATTGCTCAAAAAGTGGCTCTAGTGATGAACCAGACACTGATGTCAAAGATTCACTATAAAACCTCTGAATTACCTTAGGAAGTATGAGGGTATGAAACAAAACCATTGTCTAAAATCAATATTATCTTTTTATATACATTATGTTAAATATATATGTGTAGCTAAATTAATTAATTAAACAATACGAGTAAATATTTGATTAACTTGTCTGCTTTCTTAAGCCAAGTTAGTGAGTATGAAAAAGTTCATTTTTCTAATTATTTCACTGAGAATTATGTGACAATCTTACAACTGGGGTAAAAGTATAGCCTCTACAGCTTAAAATATTCACTATCTGGACTTTCAAGAAAAAATCTGCCTGTTTTAGAATAAAGTAGGAAAAGTAGAATATTTCAATTACATCCCCTAAAATACTTACTTTAACATACTGTTTTGATTTCAGAACATCCAAGAGATCTCTAACTGGGGCTGAAAGTATGAATTCTGCTGCTATTTCCAGGTCCTAGGATCACAGTTACAAAGAAACTTCTTTAGGGTTAGCTTTTTTAAAAAGTAAGATAAAAGAAAAATAAGAAAAGATAATAATTAATCAGGGTTGTAAACTCACCTTTCTCAACATTTTAGCAAATCCTAGTGCTTTTGAGGCTCTTTCTCTGGCTTCATGAAAGAGCTCCTTCAGTGCTCGGCTGATCTCTATAACAGACCTCCTGCCAAGAGGATTGAAGTCCAGTTAGAACACATTAGGGAATACCGCAGGGTTACAAGAGGCATTCAACAATAAAGAGGAAGCAAATTCCAAGTCACAGTTATAAACACAGACTGCAGATTTTTTAAATGGGAACAAGCAATTATTAAGCATGTATTCAAAATATTCAGAAGCTTGCTCCTGAGAGTTTTGCAGAAAATACTTGTATCCTTTAAATATATGTAGGGCACATTTAATAACCTTCAAATAACAGAAAGCTCAATTTTCTAAAGATTTCATTATAATAATTTCTTCAAGTTTGAGATAAGTTCTTGACCTCCAGCTCATAATCTAATTTAAAAGATATGGTAAATATTTAACAACTGGTTCCCCCTAAAATATTGTCTTAGGGGGTACATGCCAATTTCTGTGGTGTAAATACTCCCAATCACAACTGATTTCAAGGTAGCAGGATGACACCACAGAACGATGACTTGGGAAGAGATGCATATAGTCAATTCTCTCACCAGGACTGTTGGCTCCAGCACCCGCTGTGAAAAAACCCCCCTTTTGACCCATCCTGAGTAAACAATTAGAGTATCATAAGAGCCATTCTCTAGTTCATTATCTTAATTCTTGCATTTTCATTTGTATTTTAAAACCACCATGCTAGCTCTTAAAACTGCACGACCTACAAAGTGATTCATTCCATTTCTCAGTTATTCACTATTTTCCCAGGTAAGAATCTATGTGGGGACTTCTTTCTTTAATGTTGGCATAAAAACAAATGTATTTTTCATCAAACCTTGGGCGGTGAGAGAAAATATTTTAGCTCTGGACAAGTCAGTTCTATCTGAGCATTTACTAAGGTTGAATCATAAGACATTGCTGATTAGATGGCCACAGAGTGGCTACGTGGCTAATACATATGCCACAAAAAATAGCAATTTCAACATAAATACTATGTACATAGAACTGGAGGACATTAACTGATGAGTAAGCCATGGTTTCATTAAGTTCAATAAAAGGAATAAGCTAAGTATAAAAATAAAAATGTATCAAATGTCATTAAAATATATTGATGGACCACTACACAGGTTTTAAAGGACAGAAACATAATATTAAAGACATCCCAGAAAATGTAAATGAATAAAATTCTATTCATTTTTAGTCAATTTTATCCCTTTCTCTAAAGGCACTATTATGCTTAATAAATTCTAAGTTCACTTTCAAAAAAAATTTCACAAAAAACCGTAACTAAGAGGTCACATGAAAAGACAAGACAGCAATAAATAAATCCTTTTAGGTCTATTGCCCAAACTCTTCCAGTCCAACACAATTAGGTTTGAACAAGGTCTGGTAAATATTTAACTGGTTCCCCCCAAAATATTGTCATTCTAGGCTCATCACCAAGGGTAACACTACATGAGATAAGAAATGGAAGAGGAAAGAAAGTACCACTCCAACCTTATTTCATCTGAAGCACTGCTGTCATCAGCACTGGTCCAAAATTCAGCACAGCTCTCCTGTAAGCCAAATTCTAGAAAACTTCCTGTAGATTTCAGCAGCATTCCTGCAATGTCACTAAGGGAACAAAAATAATAAAAATAAAACAGAGAAGAAAAATTGTCCTCACTCATATCCTAATTCTCGAATGAGGAACTGAAAAGCTCAGCTACTGCTTCAATAGTTTAAAAATCAATGAGAATTTTTTCTAATATAAAATTGTGATTAATGTGAAAAAGGAGAAATCTGGATTATGGCATGTATATAACTTTGTTTTATTACCACATATTTCATAATAAACCTTAAAATCTTGTATTCACAGTAGCTACGTGATTATTATACAAATGTTATTTCAATCTTAAATGTTCAAAATGGTATAAAATGGCCTTAAATGAAATAAGTGATAGGGAAAAAAGTGAATTTCTCAAAAGCAACTGTTTTAAAAAATTTCCCTCGCATTAGCTTTTTATAGTCAGTAAACAAGAAACACTATGTAGCTGATCCTTCTCACTGAATACACAATTCTAAATACTAGTGTTAAAATGTATACCCAAGTGTATAAAATAAATCTAAATGAATGTAGTCAAATCCAACAACAGTTTATTCACCTCCATGATGTGCAAGGAAAAGACCTATGACCTAGTAAAAGAGCAGGTAAATATTAATATATAACCAGGATCAGAGTTGGTACAAAGAAAGTGCTAGGGTTGTTGTCAGAGGAGAAAGATCAAACCGGCTGAAGGCACAGTCTCAAGGCCAGAAAGCCCTGCAACGGGCCTTGTAGGCAAATGCAGAATTTTAACAGGTAGAACAATGGTGGGAAGAGGGGACCTGTCTGTCAGGAATACAATGAAGGAGGGGGAAAGAAAGTTCAGGAAGAGCAATAAATATAATTAAAAGTAATAAAGATATGTCAAGCAAGTGGCATGTCTGTGAAAAAAGAACCTGGCCAATTGGAAAGGAGTGGAGGCTTTTTATGCCACAAAGGGAGGTGAAGTAAGGCCAGGAGAGTAAACTGGAGCCATGCTGGGGGGCCTTGATGGCGTGCTAATTAGTGTGGTATCTCGCAGGCAAAGAGTGTAGGCCTTGAAATACCTGAGTGGGAAAGGGACCTGATTAGAAACACGCTTTTAAGAAGAAGACTATACAAAGATATCCAGGATGGACTTATCCAACAAATACTGGGTGCCTAGTATGTGCTAAGTAGCAGTGAACGAAAGAGACAAAAGCCCTCTAGTAAATGGAAAAAAACGATAAATACAACCAAAAAAATATATTTTATTTCAGATATTAGTAAGTGCTATGGAGAGAAAAAATAGGGGGGAAAAACTCAAGAGTGCTTGTGGGTAGGAATTTCAATTTTAAATATACTGAGAAGGTAACATTTGGACAAAGACCCAAAGGAAGCGGGGAAATGAATCATGAAAATAACTAGGGGACGAGCAGGCCACGTAGAGGGACCTGCACGTGCAGCGGCCTTGCGGCGGGAACACGCCCAGGCCGTGAGAAACGGTAAGGAAACCACCGTGGCTGCGGAGCAAGCACAGCAGAGTCTGGCAGGAGAACAGAGACTTGATGAGACGTCAGACATGCCAGGCCTCACAGGCCACCGTTTAGGCACTCTCACTTTTATACTGAGTAAGACAGGGAGCAGCTGGAGTATTGAGAGAAGATGGTCTGACATACATTCTAAAAAGATCACTCTGGCTACGATGTTGAGAGTAAACTACAGGAGACTGGGCAGAAGCAGGGAGACTGCTTAGAGAGCCACGGTGATGATATGCGTGAGCACTGACAAGCTCGGAAGAGTGGTAGCGGGCAGTGCTCGGTGGGCAGAGGGCAGATTCTGGATGTATCCTGAAGGGACAGCCGAAAGGACTCGAGTAGCATGTGTGACAAAGAAAGAAGTCAGGGTTCATTTCAATGTTGATTGAACTGGGAGAAATAGTATATAAAGCAGAAGCTGCTGCTCTAAAACAACAGATAAAACGCAACAGTGTCCGTAACTAGAAGTGGGCAGTCCGCAAGGTGCAGTAAAAAAGCCCTGGGAGCTTCTCCAAACGAGGATCACGAAGGCCATGGCCAGGGACTGCACTCTAGGGAGCTTGGAGAACCAGCAAAAGATAAAAACACAAGAGACTAACGGGAGGAAGTGAGGGTACAGTAAAATTACTGACATGAATTTATAGTGAAACTCAACAGTAACCTTTAAAAATTTTGCTTCGACAAAGCTTGACAGGCTGGAAACAGAAAATGTAAACAGAAAGAATTGTAGGCAAAGCAGAATTAATGAAAATTAAGAGAAGAGAGATGTTAAAAATGGCAATGAATGCATTTTTAAAGCATTATTTTAAAAGGACAGTCAGCCTGGGGATCACAGCCTGAAGGCCTGGGAGAGTTATGAGATAAGAGCAAGTCCCCTGCTCACCCAAAACAAAAAGAGAGGATCTAAAAAGAACTGGAAACTGGGGCAGAGAAGTAGATACAGGATTCTGAGATACGGGGTAGGAGACACAGATGGGTGAGTTGCTGACGTCTCACGGAACGCATACGAAGGCAGGGTAAGAACATCTGGGCTGGGTATGAAAGACCAGATGAAAAGACGAAGGAAGAGATAAAATGGCTGAGAGACAGGTGGGAGCAGGTAGCACTGACAGAAGCAGCAGAACCGGGAGCACAGGACAACACCGGTCCTCATGGAACCGAAGCAAGGCTGAGGGGCAGTGGCCACCAGGAAAGGCCACAGAAATACACCCTGTGCTCAACAGCTAGGGGCCTGCACTCAGGAAAAGACATTCGTTTCCTAGAACAGACACACCAGTGGTCGCACTCTCTTCCCCACGATTATCCCCAAATAGTGACAGTAAAATCACGTACTTCATAAGTGCCGAGTGTCCCCATCCAGCCGGTTACACACAGGTGTATTCTACTCTTAAAGGACTTAGATTCTCCTCCGTATTAAAATCAAACAAGTGAGAAGGTTTATTCTAAGGCAGGATTTCTCAAGGTCAAAATCAACACATTGAGTGGAAAATTCTGTTGTGGGGCTGCCCAGTGCATTGTGGGGTACTCCAGCAGCACCCCTGCCCTCTATCCACTAGATGGCCAGCATCTCCCAGTCACGACAATCAAGCGTCTCCAGATAGTGCCAAAAGTCCTCCAGGGGCCCATACGAGATGTAAAAAATTGTAATTTCCAGGTAACTAAACATTCGGACGCGTGGAAGAGAATTGACAAGGAAACTGGGAGTGAGAGTGAGGAAGGAAGGAAGCCAGACTCGGGCGCAAGGATTCCTACCAGAAGAGCTTTCCGGCCTGTGCTTCTCCTCCCCGTATGTAGTGAGTTATTTCTTTGGTGAAATTCCATTCTTCTTCTAACAGATTTTTTAAACTATGGGATGCTTGAGGTAATTGCTGTAGCATTTGGATCCAGCTTCTCATGTAATCAAAATATACCTTAAAATACAAAAATGCAAAGGGAGATACTTGAGAGTAGAATTCAGCAACTCACAACTTTCACCTATTAAAACAAAAGCTATAAATCAGAAGGGCAAGACGGAAGAGAGTTAAAAGCATGCAACACCGAGAGGATTCTTCACCATTGTTAGCAAATGTCTAAATGAGGATTTCTGAAAAAATTACAAAACTTGACTCCTCAGGAATTTGACACTATTCACAACCCCTTCAAATTCCTAAGAAAATAACTAAAATGTTCACAGTGTATAGAAAAGTACAACAAAGGAAAAAAATTGAAACCCTAGCACCTAGAAATTTTCATTATGAATATTCTGTGAACATCATTCCTTTAAGAGGTCAGGATCTTTACCTGTTTAATTATTTAGTTTAGCTTGAGACGGTATCTTACGTGCTGAGAGGAGGAAATGAACACACTTCTTCCCACCGCCCTTTCCTGATCCAGAATTCTGTGATATAATTTTTTCAAGGTTCATGACATACAAATTATGATCTATAACCAAAATACCCAGTTGTTCTGAAGTGCGGTAATGCCCACCCCAAGTCTGTCACAACAGCCTTCCCATTCCTAACTCTCATTCTGAGTTATCTGCTGGTTAGCAGGGTTTCACTATCAGTTTTTCTTGACAGGTCTACAATGGCTCTATTACAAAACATCACTGCCTATGGACTCTCTCAGTTAAACGGTAACTTGACTGGGGAGAAAATACTGAGTCACACATTCCCTTCTACACCAGTGTGATGTTAGCGTGAGGAAACGATGCCAACCTGAGCACCCCCTGCCACCGCTCTCCCACATCCTAACGGTGCCTGCACTTAGGGTTTTGCACTCAGATGTTTATAGGATTCTTTCTCTATCCTTTGATTTCAGTTTTTTCACCAGGCTACACCTTAGAGTTCATAGTTTGGAATGATTTTTTTTTCTGAGATCCCATGGTAACTTTCCATAGGCAAATTTCAAGTCTTTTCTTTATTTCAAGAAAAATTTCTTCTGTTGTAGCTTTGAATGCATCTGGGCCCTCCACCCTCCAGGCTGTGCGCTGTGACTCTGCAGTCCTGGGTCGTACACAAGAGCTGCATGCGTGGAACCTGCCATTCACGGATCTACCATCATGCTCCACAAACGAAACAAGTCTTTTCCACAGCAGGCCCAGAGCTGCCCCTCTTCTCGGAGTGTCCCCCATCTCCTTGGCCCCTTGAAAGCTGGCTCTCCCTGGGCCAGCACTTCTCCTTTAAGACCCTCTCAAGGGGCAACTATTTATCTTTCTGCATGCTCCAGGGCTGCAAAGGGCCGGCACCCTCTTATTTCCCACCGCTCCTTTCAAGCCACTATTCGACACATTCTTATTTAAAATTCAAAACAAAAAGCCCCCGCGCTTTAAGATTCATGCATTGACCCATTGACCGTACCATCAACCCCCTCTTCACACTGTCATCTACTCTCATCACCTCACCTTCAAGCGCTGGCCTCTGACTGACAACCCTCCCTCCAGCTCAGGCTCAGCCATTGTGCCATGTGACCTAGAGCCATGTGCATGGCCACCCCCCACCACTGCTGCTTAGTCCCCTGACTGCCCCATTCCCACTTCCTTACAGGGCTCCATCCTGGGTCCCGTCATTACCAGAACTGCTCCAACCCCCAAATCACCGATGCAAATACCCCGATGCTAAAGCTGCCTCTGCTCCTTCCAGTTGATCTGTTCAACCACTACCATCACAACTGTTTTCTTCACCTTATCTGAAATGCCCGCTAATTCCTGATCTAATTCCTCATCTTTCTCCAACTCACGGCCCCCTTCCTTTGTTCTCTTTACTCCTGATTCAGTTTGGATCCATGGGCTTGTCCTTTCAACAGCACTCCTGTCAGTATGCTGAAGTCCCTGTGACCCCTCACTGCCTTTTCATCTCACCTGTCCATCAAGACCCCAAAGCCAGCTGGAGCCCAACTATCCCATTCCTCAAGCCCATACTCAGGAAGCTAGGGACATCAGAAAGTCACCTGATGGGAGGAATCACTGTTCTACACAATCATGTCACCAACCACATGGCATACATTTCTGGTAATAGTATTTATATTTTTACTCAGCTCATTTTCCTTCTCTCTCTATAACCACTAGTTTGAAACTTTCCCATTTTTCTCAAACCGCCAATATTCACCCTCACCCATTCTCAGATGATCTCACCTCTCTTTGGAAAAAAAAAAATAGAAGTCATTTGATATAAACTCTCTCATCTTCCTGATACCAAAAATGGAAACCAACACACTGTTACATACTCTCCCCCTTCCCTTCTTTACAGTAGAGGAACCACTGTTCCTCCTAATCCCAGTAGTTGTGTTTTCAGTTTGAGACCCAGGAGGAACTGTCCTCTTCCCTCTTCCCTCTCCCCTCTCTCTCTCTCTCTCACACACTCTTCCATCTCTTTCCCTTAACAAAGTCAGTCTCAAAGGCTTTCAAATTGTCTCAGGCCAATTTAAAAGCCCCTCACTGGACTTGTCACCTTCACTATTCGCCCAGCTGCACGAGCAGGACACCCAGCACTCACTCTCAATACTTCTCCCATTTCTAATCCATCATTGAGTCCTGCCAATTTCACCTCCTAAATTTCTTTTGAATCCTTACACTTCTTTCCGAACGTGACACCACTCTAATCCAAGGACGAGCATATGTACTACAGCAATAGCCTCGAACTGAGGCCTTCTCACATCTGCTCTGCTTCCCTCCAGCCTGTTCTCCAAACTGCAGCCAGAATCACCCCTTCACAGGGCTTTCCTTGGAAGCTTTATTCCTGCCATGCTCCTTCCTAACAGAGTTTCTCTCTGCTGCCTTCTGTCAAAAAAGTGTTTCTTTCAATCTTTTTAATTAAAAAGCAAAGAGGTTAAAAAATATTCTAACAAATTATCACTCAGAATGAACAAATGTTAAGATTTTGTCATATTTGCCTTAGATATTTTTTCAGTAAGAAATAAGATACCAGAAAGTTAATTTCTTTTTGTTTCTCTCTTCACTTTTATCTCTTTCCTCCTTCCCCAGAGACAATTACCACGAATTTAGTATGCTTCCTTCTAGTTTATATGCTTTTTAAAACAATCTGTTATTACATAAATTACAATATACAAAGTACAATTTTTGTCTAAGCTTTGCATAGCTGGATTATAATACAGATAAGCTTCAGATAAACTCCAGTGCCCCTTCCTCAAAGAAGCTTTCTCCAACATCCACACAAACTCAAATCTTCCCATTACAGTCCACAAAAGACCTGTGCCTTTCCTTTGTGGCACTTTTCAGTTGCAATTTTGTTTGTATGACTACACAAAGGCCATTTCCTCACCATTCTTGAATTCTAAGAGGAGTTTATGCTCATCATTACATCCGAAGTACCCTGCGTGACACCTGCCTGGCACACAGTAGATACCCAATAATTAATCGGCAGAATGAAAAATTAAATCTTTTCTGCTCCTTTGCTCTTTATTCTGCAGAAACACTAATTGTGCATACATGGGCTCTCTCTTGTGTGTCTTCTACAACTATCAAATCTTGTCATCATTTTCATATTTTCATTCTTTTAAAATTCTTTTTAATGTGTTTTCCTTAAGCCTATCACATATTCCTACATCACATATTAGTATGTGTATTGTCTGGGTTACTTTTGAGGCCAGGGACCAGGGAAATGAGCTAATTCACAGCTTTAGTTTGGGTTTGATGCCTCAAACACTCTCCGAGTTATTTCCTTTATTTCTTTTGGCCTGTATATCTAAGCGCCTCAGTTTTTCAAGTACAATGAACAAGGTAACACAAAGTAAAGCCCCCTAAGTCACAGACTTCCTGCATCATATCTTGCTAATCGCTGCTTTCCCTCCCCCTTCTAGCAGAGCTCCCATTCGGTAGGCTTCCTTGGCTGACAGGTTAAGCTGCAGGGAGTAGGGTCTCTACTGATACTGTCTGTCGCGCAGATCTTCAGTGAACAACAGATCTCCGCAGGGACATGCTCTGCTTCTCTCACGGCTATTCATATGCCTAGATATGATGGTTCTAGTTAATTCCTGGATGGGCTCTCCAGGTCTAAGGTGGAAAAGTATTTAGAGCTTGTGTCCACTCTCATTTTACTCTACATTTCAAGGCAAATAATTCTAACATTCTTTTCGTTTTTGGAAAGTGCGGAGGAACTGATACGATGGCCAATTACCTCCTTTTCTGAACATGGAATTTTTTTCTTTGCTGTTTTTGGTGAGTTTCGAGAGAATGATGTTGTGGTAAACATAGTATGTTTGCCTATCCAATACTCAGTCTCTCCTTCCTTCCTAATAGAAACACTGATTTTGTTTGGGCTCCCCAGTTCTCAAAACACGCCCCCGCTCTGATCCTTCTAGCACACACCACGGCAAAGTTTAAAACCAGTGATAATTTCTAGTGTTTTCACCTGTGAGATTAGAGATTATGCCTCATGCAGATAATTGATAGCAAAGCCAAAACTAAACTCTAAGCATTTCTAAGACTAGCTAGCTGGGAATGCTGGTAATTCACTTAACCTAGGCATTCGCTATAGCACAGGTACACCAAGGGTGCGGAAACTGGCTGTCCGGGAAGGTAGTTCACCTGCCTGATGCACCTCATCCTGCTCCTCCCGACTGACAGGACATTTTGTCTTTTTAAACTTCTGATTTAATCATCCATAGAAAGAAAAAAATGATTTGTTTATTGCTTTTTACCATAACTTTTCAATGATAAAGACTTTTTTTGACATAACAAATACATAGTATTTCAAAATGCAACCATTTTATACACTCTGGTCTTTTATGTATTTTCCCCAATTAGAAAATAATTTCAAACTCATTAAAATTATTTCTCACAATATGCCGGATCTGATAAGTCCCATTCCAAGCCACATTATTCCTTCTCTACTTCTATAATATTGATACTATAGAGGCCAGAAAGCTCAATATTTGAATTCGCTTCCATAACATTGATGAGGCCATGCAACAAGTCTGGTCAATAAGATGGAGGAAAAATCTGCTGGGTGCAGCTTCCAGGAGAGCTCATACTGTTCTCATGAAACAGTCTGGAGTTAGCTGGCACGGTTCTTTTCCCCTTTTCTTCCAGTCTAGAAAGTGAGGCGGGTATATGGAGGTGCTGTAAACATCTTGAGGCAGGACACAGTGAATGTTAAGCAAGGATGAAAGCACCGCCAAAACAATATGCCCACAAGCATGTAGCTTTCTATATTACTTCCTTGGCCTGCCACATTATGTACTCGTCTAAGCACAGACCCTAATGGAACTAACGTGTACTTACTATACATTAACATGCTACCAGACATTATGGACAACAAAAGAATTTCACGTTATAGCCCCTGGCTCATAAAGCTTTGAGTGTAATTAGGGAAAGCTGAGAACAGAGTCTCTGTTTAAATGTTAAATAGTACAGTTCTAATTATAACTGCTAAAAAAGTTCAAAGAAAGTACAGATAAATGTGGGCTAAAGGTTAAAACTGTCAGATTAAGCTTCTAGAGAAAAACAAAACCAGAAAGTAAGTCTTAAATGGGCAGATAAGTAGGGACATTTTTAACAGGAAAGAACATGAACAACAGTACAGCAGTTAGAAAGCAGAGGGCAAGCACGATGCATGTAAGACAAGCGGGGCTCTCCCTTCAGGAATAAATGAAAATAGGTCTACTCCTGCCAAATCAAACTATTTACAAGTCCTCCAATGTGCCAGCTTCCTTGACTAACCCTTGACTCCTCTTTACGATTCAGCTTCCTCACGGTAAGCACCTCCTGGCTGTCCCGGGCTCGTTCAGGTGCCCCAGCTCAACACCCTTCTCCCCTAGCACTTAGCGTTTGGGGGTAGAAGTATCCACCAAGTCCAGTTCCTACTCGACTATGAGTTTCTTGTCATGTTTCACTATTCCCAGAGCTATGCAAGGTCCCTAGAACATTCCAGGTATCATAAAAATGGCTGATGACAGATGGTTCAATAAAATAGGATCAGATTTTGATTCCATTTCTGGGCCATTCTGCTATAAGATAAACTATCCTACAATCAGCAAATGAACAAGGTTAACATTTGTCAAAAATTCCAACTTAAAAACCATTGAGAATTTTTAGAATGTGGGTTTAGGAAGAACAGGTATAATCTAATACCAGATGGAAAGACTCAGGTTCAAGATCACCACACATACACACACACACACAATTTATAAGGAATTCTTCCCCCCTGTTCCTGACCATCAGCATTTTATGCAGATCTTCTTCAAAAGCATCAATGTTGCAGTCAGTCTTCTCCAAGTCCTCTAGAACCTCCTGCAGCATGAATAGGTAGTACTGTTTCATCAGAAGGCCACCTTTCAGGACCTCTTTACACTCTCTCACCAGCTGCAAAAGAACAGACACAGGTTCCATCAGTTATATATCCTGAGCAGATTATTGGTCAGTTTCACACCTCTCTACTTAAATCCTCAAAAAACTAAGAAAGAAAACAAAATAATGAAAATAAAAGGATTTAATATCACAGCATGAATACACAGAGAAAATAGCACATAGGCAGCTACAGCTTTGCTAAAATATATTCTGCAAATTTATACAGAAAATAAATTCCACAACATAAGGTTAATTTTTCTACTAATTTACATTATAACACAAGTGATACGAGAGGAAAAAAATATCCTAATGAAACTGGTAAATTTCAACCAAAAACATAGTAAAGATTCAAATGTACTTACACAGCACAGAGTATAAGGTGGCCTTTGCGATAATTTAGCATAGTTTACTTCTGCTGATGTGGCCTAGTCTACCATCAAAAAACTCTAACAATAGCAAAAACAAGCAAATAAACCTAACATTAATCTAATGACATTAGATAGAAGTCAAGGAAAAAACTAAGCAAAAGGATGGGAAAATTTGCAATATACGGGCCTGGTAAGCAACATATCAAAAAATGAAGGAGACTGAACTGAGACAACCCAGAAAGCCCTTCCCATTTCTAAAAGGCTGGGACATGACCCCTTCACAGTGGCGTCAGCAGGGACTGTGGTATGAGATC